ATTCAAGTTCTTCAAGAGCAATGCACAAGTCTTTTCTGTGGCAGACGCAGGGAGAGATGGGAGGCGAGGGGGTGGGAGGGGGGAGCCATTTTGTGCTCTGCGTTGTCCAGCCGAGCGTAAAGCGTGATTAATTCAATAGCCGCCATAGAGGAGGAGGCTAGCAGCACTGCAACACCGAGCATGACCCACTTTCCCCGTCAGATGTCATGAAAAATTCTCTGCCATCCCTCTCTGTGGTTCTCATTTCCCCCTCCAACTTCCTGCCTGATTAACAAAGAGAAAGGGGAGGAAAATTACAAAATCAATGCATGTTTGCAATGATCAGTGGAAGGGGCCACAGAGCAGGGATCTCACTCATGAAATTTAATAGAAATATGAGCTTTCAGGTGGGTGTTTGGTAGATTTTAAATGGAGTAAGAAATTCAGACCTTAAAATAAAAAAATGTCTATTTGCTGGAAGGTTTTAGCCCATTGGGGCAAATGATTCACAGGGCCTTGACCTAATTCTATTATGCTACAGGATGTATGAGCAAAATACAGTCTGGGAGGACAACTATTCAAACGCAGCTCTTAACGCTGACCTTGTTCATCTCTGATGTCCAACAGACTCATTTTTGTTGACCTAAATCTACAGTTTCTGTGTCTTAATCACAGGGAAGGATGTTTGCTTTTAGGGTCAGCTCATTATTGTGCACAATTGGAGAAAGGACGTAGGTACAGGCCTCAGTGTTTCTAAAATATAAGTGAGAAAGCATCAAGACATCAACTTTCAAAAAGAAACACTGGAGTGAAAGTATAAATCATCTTTAAGCACTTATTTTCCCCTGTTGAAAGTAAATGAATACTGCGACATGTATAAACATTGAATCCCGTCGTCAATCTTGGAGGGTTTATTTTTTTCTTTATTTTTTTTTTCTGCCCCATCCCTCCTGCCCCTGGAGAGGACCTGCACCGCTGGCTTGGGTCTTAAACCCGGATTAAGGCTTTTTATGTAATCTGGTCTCCTCTGGGAGATTGGAGAGACAGCTGGCAACAGAATCCCTGTCCTTATCTCTCGAACCTCCCCTGGCCTCCGACCAACACGTCCCTCAGCTCTCAGCTCGGCATGCAGCGTAGATTAGAGGAGGAATGATTTCTGGAGCCAGTGGCTGATGGGACAGTCATATTTGTGCTGACAGCAGCCATTTTGACAGGAAATAGTAGGGTGTTATCAGTGATACTAATTAAGGCTCCATTCCATTCAGGTCAAACAGAGCCAGCGTGCTGCTACTGTACATGTTGGCTCACTGAAAAGGCTCTGCTACACTAAATGGAACAGAACCTTAATTAATACCATTAGTAACTGCTGTTTACCCTACCATTTCATGTCAAAATGGCTGCTGTAAAATGCCATCAAGAACTAATTTATACGTGTATTCGTCCTGAATCTTCAGCGGTATTTCCTTGATTTGGTACACTCCGTAACCCAAACAACTACAGTCAAAATAGTCGGCTACTCGCACAAGCAGAACAGATATTGTAGAGTTTTACCCAGAAAGTTTTGGCAGCGCAGTCGTCTATTAGCTGTAGCATGCCCTGTCGGCTTAGCCCGGTTAGCCAGGTTAGTCGAGCTCATGTAATGAAACCAGAGCTGGAGGATCCTCCCGCGACATTCAGATCCCCTCTACGGGACACTTCAAATATTTGTCAATTAGCAGAACGGAGCTTCTCACTGCAGATTCGGACCGTGCCAACGCAAAAAAACAAATGCTATAGGAGTGTTTATCGCTGCAGATATGCCAGTAGTTTTGTGGTGCCTCGAGAAATGGGTATACTAATTTACGCCACCCAGTTTAGTTTTTTTTAAGCTGGCCATCCAGCCAGGAGTATCAGCACATTAATAAGTTGCTCTATAAGGGTTTACATGCTGCTCTATAAGGGGTTATATGTTGCAGCTGTTCAGGAATCATTCTTACGATGGAGCATTGCTGACATTTGTGTTATTCATTTTTCTTATTGACAATACGCCAGCATCTGAGTGCCTTAACTTTTACAAAACTGAGGTACCTACCGAATCTTTATCAGGTTCATCTGGTTGCAGCTTCTCTGAAGAGAGGATTTGCTGCTTTTATATCATAGAAAATTTAGCAAAAGGAAGACGTCACAGCTTTGCACTCTGGGAAATTAGAACGCACATTCTTCTTCTTTCTTTTAACTCCCACACTTTATAGACAAAATGATAATTGGAGAAAAAAATCAGCAGTTGTTAATTGTTGCTGCATTTACATTAAAGTAAGCTGGACAAACACAAGAGGTTAAACCATATTTAAGTTGCAGTACAAAGAGTGCAAATATAAAATCAACAGATCACAAATCAACAATAAAGGCCTTCACAATGCTAAAAATATATATAGGATAATTGATATAATTGATGTTAAAAAAGAGAATATTCCTAAACTTGTATCATATTTTGTCCTTTAGCTTAAAGTAGTGAATGACCTTCAGTAGATTAACATGTTAGGCATCTTGTTTTATACATTATAAATATATTTACTGGATGCTTTCAAAAGTTTTCCTGCGATGCAACGTAGAAGCAGAGCTTTATCAGATCTACCTGCGCAGTCCAAACAGCTAAACTATCATCACCTGTTTCACAGTCTCCCCATAGGCCGACACAGTGCTGGACCACCAACATATACAGCATTTACGTGTTGTGAAATGCTATATGTGTTAAGGGGAGTAAAGCAGGTAAATTAGGCTCCCATTGTGTCGGTGATGAGGGTGACACCAAGGTCAAGCAGTTCACAATCCTACAACCTGCATCCACCCTTTCAGGTTTGAGCCATCAGTTCAATCATTTCATGGACTTTCATGACTCATTTGTCTCTCTCGCTCGCTCTCATTTCTCTTCTGCCGAGACCATGACTGCATATTCCAGCAGCTAATTAGCAATCCCACAAGGGAGGGAGGAAGGAGAAAGTTCATTTCTACATAGCAACAATGTCTCTGATTGGCAGTCAGTGACTTTATCTGTCTCTCCAGTCAAGGTCAGCTGCTTCAGGAGCTTTTTCTCTCCGCATACTGTCTTTTAGCTGCAGTGTAGATCAGAAACATATTTACTGTTTCCATTCGTCTGTTTTATAACATTTATCAAGCTCGGCATCAGACGTGATTCACAGAGATTTTTGTGTGAAATGATCATGTTTTATGATTCTTGTTCGTATACTGCTTCTCAGTATTCTTGGTACAGCACAAAAATAGGAAATATCTTATATTAATTAACTTTTTCAGCCCCAATTTCTAACTCCTGACAGTTAATTTAACTCTCCCTGTTATCTCGAAATGCCCTGGTACAATTCATCTATTCCATTCTTTGATTTATTTTTTTCTACATTCATTTCTCATAATTTGAGAAGTTATTATCATCTACAATCATTATTTCAACTTAAAACCCACAGTCTTACACTCTAATGTGTTTTCCTTCTAATATACGAGCATAATCTATTCAAATTGAGTGTTTTTGTCATCATTTAGAGCCATTAAATAAAGCTGGGTGATGCTCCAAAACCTCACAATATAAATGCCTGTTCGCTTAATATATTTCTGATTGATTTATGAACAGAAAAGTTTTAAATGTGCCTTCTGTGCAGCAGAATAAAGATCAGGCAGCCCTGACTGCAGTGCATGGAGCACTCAGATCCACTGTCTGGACTGCAGCGCCCTCCTGTGGTCACTCCCCTAACTGAAGTCTTGAGTCATTACATCACTTGTCAGCCAGAATTAGATGCGTTCCAGCTGAAATGGGTTCGGTAAAAATAAATATGGCGCGCAACGTTTGATGGCTCATCTCGTGACTGAGGAGACATATGCTGACCTACATTTCAATTGCTTTTATTGCCAACTGTTGTATACCGCATAAGGCTTTGTAGACAGGAAGACCACAGCTCATTTTCCTCAATTCTAACCGAGATTATTGGAGCATATCTACATTGTTATCTTTTGTATTCCTGGGATTTTTTACCCTGGGGGCAATAATCAGATGTTAGACCCTAGTTAACCCCCTTTTCTCCCTCTTTCTGTGCTTTTACTGTACTCAAATACCACCAGGCCCCCATGTTCTTTGTGTGTTGACACTACAATACTAATGTAACATATGAGCACAAAACTAAAATAATAAAAGACCCAAAAACTAGATTTTAGGACCCACTTTCTATATATTTCTTTTAAAAAAAAGACAGAATTGATCTACTAAGTTTTGTTGCCAAAGAGGTCAATGTTTGTCCAAAAGGAGCCACACTGTTTCTTCATTATGAACACTCATTCATTCATTCTGACTCAATCCCACATGTACAATCCTGCTATTGTATTAATACGCAGCTGAAAATAGTCCTCAACAAACCCAATTTTAAGAAACATTTGCTAAACACTACAGTGCCCAGCTGTTTAAGAACATTGCTGAGCATATTTATGATCTAGTTTTTGTTAGATTTATGTGTTCAGTAGAAACAAAAAGGCTTGGGGCCACACACAGGAAGTCAGGAAGTATTGAGAGACAGATGGAAATGTTTTTCTTTCATGGAATTTTTAACAACAGAAAATATATATAGCAGTCTTATCCTTTCTTTTAATGTGTGCTTTAGTGGTGAATATTCCAGTAAACCAGTGTCCCGGTACATTTCCCCAGTTGGTAATCCCTTTTTTCTTTCATTTTTAAAACAATGAGCTCTTCAGTCATAATATATTCCGGTCGTCCTACGCTTAAAACTTAACCTGTTATCAAGCGACATGACTAAAATATCTAATCAGCTTAAAGTGAGTTTAAAAAGAATATATTTAGAGTTAGGAGTTAGAGTTGCAGCCTGCTTTTTGTCACCACACTATCTGCTCTCAGCAGGCGTGTATTCACTTTTATTATTATTTTTTGCAGGTGACCGGTTGGCTGACTCCACCATCACACTCGCGTTGGCCCTTGAACTCCTCTCTCACGTGACCACGCCCCTTCCTTCACATCCAATCCCGACATGGAGCCCATCAAGGTCCAATCAGAAGGTGGACTGAATGTGACCCTCACCATCAGGCTGCTGATGCACGGCAAGGTACGAACGCAGTTCTCGGCAATGAATTTAATTTCCCGTTCTGCTTTTGTTTCCAATTATCTGTCAAAAGAAAATGTATTATTTGCAAGGCCCCCCCAGGTGGCACAAATACACCTAACATAGTTTTTTTTGTGTTTCTGCAGGAGGTTGGAAGCATCATAGGAAAGGTATTTATCACAAACACAACAAGCAGACCATGTAAAGCCTCATAAGGCCTGTGGGAAACACACAAAGCGTCTTAATAATCTTCCTTTTCTTTATTTCCAGAAAGGAGAAACGGTGAAGAAAATGCGTGAAGATGTACGTAGAAGCTTCCTAGAAAATAGTTTCTCCTCCTAACATGTGTTTTTGTCATAATCATGTATCTTTTGCTCCTTTTTTTGCCCTACAGAGCGGCGCCCGTATCAACATCTCAGAGGGGAATTGCCCTGAACGGATAGTAACCATCACCGGGCCAACAGATGCTATTTTCAAGGCCTTTGCCATGATAGCCTACAAGTTTGAGGAGGTATAACATTCATCATCAAACTCTACAAAGTCTGTTTTTACAGTACAGTATTGAAGGAAGCATTCAGATCCTTTAATTAAGTGAAAGTGCTACTAACACACTGTAACAACACTCTGCTGCAAGTAGTAGTATAATCAAGACTTTGACTGTTATACCATTATATACTATATCATTAGATTATTATGACCCATGTGTGAATGTAAAAGCAGGGTTTTAGTGTTTTTGGTTGAGTTGGAGCTAATTTTTAACAATTTTTTATAAGACTGCAACAAATAATTTGATTATTTTCTTCATTAATTGATTCATTTAAAATAATGACACCTTCACAAACCCTGAAAATGATTATAAATGAATTAAAATGATGACAAAGAAGCAGAACATTAATCAGAATAGTAATAAGATAGTCAATCGATAGAATATTTATGTTGTGTAGTTTCATTTATAATGAAGCATCATATTTCATAAGCTTATCGTGTCGTAAGTGTAAAGTGGCGAGATGAGAAAATACTAAAGTACCTCAGATTTGCACGTAAGCACGTTACTAGAGTAAATGTATTTAGTTACACTCGACCACAATGCTTTAGTGTCTGTACTGACTCGTTTCCAAATGGAATACAAAGCAGGCTTGGCCCCATTATGTAGGACAAAAATGTGCTGATCTAACCTTGCAGCACCCTTTGAAAGTGGGCCAGTACTTTGTTTTGATTTGGGGGCTGTATCAGGACACTTTCAGTCGCACCAAGCCTCCAAAACACTGCACATAAAACGGTACTAGGGTACTTACAATTTGGAGAACAGTGTACTATTTTATTTTTACATTTGTTTTAAATGGAAAATATGAATTTGCAAAGTAATTCTGATATTATAGTGGAGTAAAAAGTACAATATTTCCTTCTGAAATATAGAAGAAGAAGATATAAAACTTAAGTTTTTAACTCACTAATTCATAAAATTTTGTATTTGCCATAGATAGAAGTCTCTTGACTAAAAATAAAACAACAAAACTAATAATGCAGCTTTTAAATGTCAGGTAATGGCTTTTTATTGTTGTTTATACTCCCCAGGAGGTTTGTGGTTAACAAGCAATGAAACATTAAGAGAAACATATCATAAAAGTGTTACGGAAACATGCAAAAATGACATTTCATGTGGTTATAATCAACATCTTTATAATAAAAATCCATCAAATGACAATGTTAAAGGAGTTTTTAGCTCATTGTTAAGCTGTCTGTCCACAGCTTCACTGTTTTCGTTCACCCTCGCCGCTCTCATACAACAACACACACAACCAGCTCACCACCAAACAGCAGAGAGTAACTGATGAAGATCCGTTAGCAGATAACGGATCCCCCAGGAGTTAGTAAATAGAGCTAAAAGAGAGTGAATATTGGATACACAAATAAATAATAGTGTTACTATACTTGCTGGATGTGTAAATAAGTAACTGATTACTGAAAAGTATTGTATTCATATAATTGTATTCATATATAATACACACAACAACTGCTGCATTTGTCTGATAAAACCGTCTTTTCTCCCTTCAGGATATAATCAACTCTATGAGCAACAGTCCAGCCACCAGTAAACCCCCTGTTACCCTGAGGCTCGTTGTCCCAGCCAGCCAATGTGGCTCCCTCATTGGTAAAGGAGGTTCCAAAATCAAAGAAATGAGAGAGGTAGAGTACAAAGAACAATTCTGCTGATCTCTATAAATACCACAAGTCAAGATATTACCAGATTTTAGAGGACGGTGCAGCCATGAGATGTTGCAAATCTCATATTTATCGTCTGTAAGTTCCCATGTAAGCTTTCTTATATAGTTTCCATTTAAGCTTTAAATCCTGCATAATTCCCAACGTGTAAAGCTCAGAGGTATTGTTGCTGCTCTGGTGTCAGTTTTTGAAATGTGCTATATTTAAAGTGTATTGTACAGATGATTCAATTCAGATTTAATAAATATTCTCCTTACCTTTAGTCCACAGGAGCTCAGGTCCAGGTTGCAGGTGATATGCTCCCCAACTCCACCGAGAGAGCAGTGACAATCTCAGGGGCCCCAGAAGCCATCATCCAGTGTGTCAAACAAATATGTGTGGTGATGCTTGAGGTACAATAAGGAAGGGAGGGGATATCAGTGAATGAAGGAAGCATTGTTGACACTGAACATATGTTGTGATTGAAATGCCTGATATGGAAGATAGTAGAAGGAGTTACAGTTATAATCCTTAAGATTTCAGTCCTGGTGTATCTGGTGATACTCGTGGTTGCTGGCGGTAACTAAAGCAAACACTCTACCACTGCTGTATCTGTTTACAGTGCAGCCAAACTATTATTTTAATTTTAAAAAGACATACAATTACAAACTAACAGTGGGTTACATAATGTTTCACTTCCCGTGAATCCCTCGAGTGTGTGAAGGCAAGCAGTGAAAACACAGACTAGCAAGGACAGGGTTTGATGTTATGGCAGTCTTAAGGATTATAACTTTAACACAGCTAAGAGTTTAATCTGCTGTATATCTACTGTGTTATCTACTGCTAATATCAATTGACAACTGATGCATATGATTGTTTTTTTTCTCATTGTATTGCTGCAAACACATTTGGAATCCAAACTAGCTACAGTAACAAATAAAGCAGAAACTAGCGACACTGGCTTGTAGGTACATAATTTACTATCTCGCAGTTTGTCAGGGTATCTCAGGTGACTTTCCTCAACATACAAGTCATAATGCTTTGGATCAAAAGGGCTACACACTTTGTCTCTCTGTTTCTTGCATGATTAATCTTAATAATTAATTATCTGCACAGCCAGTTCTCCATTGGGCCTTCATGATGGCACCAGCCATGGATGCTAGGAGATATGTGACATGACTGTAAGTCTCTAGAATACAGACCTCACAAGATATTTAAAACAGAGTATGTAGAGTCATCATTATCCAGTTGAAAGTGATGTTCCAGGTAAATCCAAGTTTAGTTGTGCACTGAACCATGATTTGGACATTTTATGTCAGCATGAACACACAGTGAAGAGCACTTTTGTTTGAGTGTCACAGGTTGTCTTCCCTAAGGCACTGTCCCTCTTGGTCTCACTTTATGCAACTTTTCTTTCTTTCTCTCTTTCTGTTTCTTTCTTTATGCTCTAACACTCTCCACATCTCACCCTTCTTCTTCTTCTTCCCCCCACTCTCTCCTCCTTTGCTCTCCTCAGTCCCCACCGAAAGGTGCCACCATCCCCTACCGCCCCAAGCCTGCCTCCACCCCTGTCATTTTTTCAGGTGGCCAGGTAAGAGCAGACCCACTGGGGGCGTCCACAGCCAACCTCAGCCTCTTACTGCAGCACCAGCCACTGCCTGTTAGTGTCGCACCAGGTTTTTCTCACTTTTCCTCCCTTCCTCACTGCCCCCACCCGCCCCCCGACTAGCATGAAACCATCACTTGCTGTTTACTGTGCCCTCACTGTAATCCATCACCCGCAGCCACTCAAACAAGAACTGGGATAAACGGCATTAGTCTTTTTAGTCTAACTTTGTTTTGAGGGGAAATTGGCCAACTTACCTTTTAATTGATGAGAACAGAGGCAATAAAACACTCTTGTGTTCCCCTTTGATGGGACTCCTAAATGGACATGAATGAAAGACAGATGTAAAATATATAAAATCACTAAAAACATATTTCTACACTCTAAATTTCATAACCTTGGAGTTCATAATATTAGACTGCCACCTGCTAGCTAACTTACCTACAGAGAAAACAAATAACTTTCACTTTGATAGGGGAATGGGGCCAACACATCTGTTACACTGATCCAAAAGCAGACGTAACACCCCGATCACGTTGAGGTAAATTCACTTACACAGCAAGAAGATCAAAACAGACCCAGGCAGGACAGTGACAGGTGAACATCAACAGAGCAGACTGGGGAAGCTAGTGGAAGCAGGTGTGCAGACAGGTGATCATGTGACCTGCAAAGGAAGGAAAACTCAGTAGCGGCCATTAGTGGACAGGGTGTGAATGACAGGTGATGAGGGATAAATCCTCAGAGCTCTTATATTTGACTATAGTGCGGCTACATATAATTTTTATTATCAGATAATCTGCTGATTATTTTAGTAATTATTCATCACAAATACTTGGCATTTTGGTTGATAAATGACTTTATAATCAACAAATCAGTTATAAAAATGTATATTTCACTATCATTAGCATGTTTCATGTTACCTTACAGCACTAGGGTTGTCCATTTACCAAGAATATAAGATTGATCATGATTAAAGTGATATTCTCATCAATCAACAGGAAGATTTATGGTTAAAATTAACAAAATTCCCATTGAATTCTGGTGGATCTTAAATTTCTATGTGTTAATTAATTGAGAAAGCAACACAATGCCTCAATCTGTGGGTCTATTATGAGTTTTCAACTTAACAATTTCCAAACTGACCGAATGTGGAGACTTGACGTGTTATTTTTGTCTGGTTAGAGTACAGCGCCGGTTTAGCTCAGTTCTGACCTCTGTGGCCACACATCCAATAGGTCACATCACATGACTCCTCTCAGGACCGCTTCTCTGGTTTCCTCCACACTTTCCCTGTCACCTCCCCACTGTCTTGAGTTGTCCCTTATTGATTTAGTTCAACTGGATCTGATTGATGAATAGCAGGAGAACATGATAGGGAGTCTATTGTGCATGACTGTGTTGTAATACAGCTACAAATATAGATCAAAACATAAAGAAATAGAGTGCTAGAGTTGTAGAAATGTCATTTTTCTTAAATTAGAAATTGTTTAGGCTTAAATTTTATGTAGAGTCAACAGTTTTACCTTGTCAGAAATTGATTTACTACAGTATGTTTTATTTTTGTGGGCTTGTTCCGATGATGTAACGAGATAACAATAAGCTCTTCTTCTCATGTTTGCAGGCTTATACCATTCAAGGACAGTACGCCATCCCACATCCAGATGTGAGTGCTAACCCCTCGAGGCATTGTCTCGCTACATCCAAAATGTCTCTCTTTGAGTCGCAGGCTCTTTACTCTCTTTCCACGCATATTAATATTAATTGTTAATATTAATACAGCTTTTTTTCTGATATGTAATTCCTATATCTTCTAACTTTTCTGACTCTTGCCTCCCTGCCCTTTGTTTGGCATTAAACCTCATGGGGCTTGGCCTGAAGAAGTTACCAGCTTCTGGTCAGGGTAATATTTTAGGGAACCTTAAAAAGAACATTTTAGAGTGATTTCCTTCTTTCCTAGCAGCTGGTGGTTTCAATTTACTTTAGTATAATATAAAAATAAACTTAAGAATTTGAAGTTGCTTGATAAAAACACTCCAGTGCAGCAGACATTGTGTTGCCTTTTAAATGCATTCTTCATTTTCTTTAACATAATGAAGCTCTGAGCAGGGACCATTTTAAAAACTCTTTGTTGGTGTTTTCTAAGGAGTTCAAGGCTTAAATGTCAGTTGCCAAAAAGCCTTTTTTTCACAAGCTCTGTTGCTGGAAGAAAACCAGAAAAACAAACGTGTAAAAGTGTCAGCTTTTAACCTGTGTTAGTATAGATGTGTGTTTCTGGATTATTCCCTAGTTTGTGACACTATTAACTTATAAACACCTGGCAAAGTACTCAAAACTGCTTCTGTGGTAGTTCGAGTTACAGTAGGTCTCTACAGATCACATTTTGCCACGAGGACACACATAAAGCAGCCACACTGTTGCACTGGGTTAAAAATATAAAGTCAGCATGGAGGTCATTGTAACATCTATTGACTACCTCTACGACAGGAAATGATAATCGCATTCCCACTAACAAGGCTTTTATTGTGAAATATTTGTAGGACCGTGACTTTAGGATACTTTAAATGTAACTACTGCCATCTTGTGGCCCTTTTATGTTACTACAAAATACCGTTTTGGCTGAGACATTACCATATCCAACCTCAGTGACTGTAATGCTGAGTAAGATGTTAAAAATAGCATATTGTTGAATTTATTCAGATAAAGCAATGAAAATGTCAATTTTGCTTACTTGGCATGCACATTATATAACAGGGACCAGTTTATCCAGCCTTGTTTTTTCCCCAGGCCTGTATTTGAGACCCACCTTTTATTTGACTTTATCTGAAGAAGTACAGTAATTTAACCTTTTTCGTGTCAATTAAAGAAATATACTGACTTAAGAGTAATTTTTCTAGTAGCCAATTTATAACCGTCTCATCCATTTTTGTGGCTCTGGCACAGCGAGATTACTTTCTTAATCCCACCTTCAAAGCTCTGATTGGTTTGGCTGTTTCATCTAACCGAGGAAACAGAATTGCTGAAACAATGTGAGATGTTCTCTGAAACCAGGCTAAGGAAATTACTCTAAAAGACAAACATGATATGTTTTGGAAACACACAAAAACCCCTAAAATGCTCTTTAAAATGAAAACAAAGCTTGAGTTAAATCCCCCTGCACATTGGTCACATAACTCAGGCCAAGTCCTTCATGAGCTTCTTTCTTTCTCTCGCTCTCTCTCAGTCTGTGTCCTTCACCTGTCTGCGTTATTACTTCTCCTCAGATCCTCTCTTTACTCTTGTAGCATTTTCAGACAGACCTGTGTGTGTGTGTCTGCGCGAGCGTGTGCGAGTGTGTTTTTTTAACGATGACCTCATAGCTCTGCTGTCCTCCTCCTCCCCCCCTCAGCAGTTGAGCAAGCTCCACCAGTTGGCTATGCAGCAAACCCCCTTTACCCCCCTCGGACAGACCACCCCTGCCTTCCCCGGTACGTACCCACCTACACGACGACCCTCTTTACCAAAGCTCCTTCTCTTGTTTTTACCTGTAGAGACAAACACATTCTCTTCCTCCTTTTTTTCTCTTTCTCTTCTTTTCCTGTCTCTGTCCTTTTCTCTTTTTCTTCTTCTCGTCATTCTCCTCCTAATGGTCTCTGTGGTGCACTGCCATTGACATGGCCTGCTGGTGGTCTGCTCTTGTTGATGTTGAGGTTTTTTTTTTTTTTGGTTTTCCCTTAGTATCCTTTTATTAACGGCGCCTCAGATTGTTGTTGTTTTTTTCTCAATTAGAGGGTAGAATTCAAACTGTCAGTGCATTATAGTTACACAGTTTAAAGACTCCGCTCAAGGCCGAGCCAGACTTCCCATTGACATAGAAATGCTACCGGTCAATAGACAAGAGAATGAGAAAACTCCAGGACTACAGTTCATCAATGCTGTTCACTTCCCTCAATGTGCCAAACTCTATTTTATGTCCTCTTCCTTCCCTCCTCGTCTCTCTCTCTTCCTGTCTGCTTCCTGTGTTCAGCAGCAGGTCTGGATGCCAGTAACCAGGCCAGTACTCATGAACTCACCATTCCCAATGATGTGAGTACATTTGTCATCATGTCCTAAAAAAACGTCCTACTGTGAAAGTGCTTTTTGTTTTCTATTTTTGTCAATTCTATACAAAACCACAAACAGCAATTCATTTTAGAAAAATGAAAGATTTGTCATTAAAACACTCACAGGGCTTCCATTTTAAGATTAGAACAGGCTTCTCTTTGAGTCACAACTATTGCAGAGACCAGAGTAATATTACTTCACTTATTACTCCCTCCCTTAGTTACTTGACAAGTTAGATATTAATTTTCTGCTGTCCTTTCTCACCAAAGTTCAGACTTACGAAAAACAAAAAAACTGATTTGTTTGTTAAAAATCAAAGAAATGTGAATATTTCCAGCTGGATTGTTTGATTTCAAATAAGTAGGAGGTGACAACAAAATTAATATTTTTTGGTGGGGGGTGGGTTGCTGTATTATTATTATGTATTATTACTGAAATGTATTAGTAATTTGTTACACTACTAGTTACTGGGGCAAGTAATATTATTCCTAGTCCTTTTTACTAGTAATGAGATACTGCCCAACACTGCCTTGGACACACTTATTCAGCAATTTTGATCATTTGTGGCCACTTTGTGCCTTAAAAAACAACCTTTTATAAAAGGTTAATGTGACACTGAGATCATATTTACAAACTCCTTCTTGTCCATTTTCAGAGAGATTAGAATCTTCTGAATTCTCAATTGATTGTTTGAATTATAAATTTATAAATTAAGTTTGATAGAAACAAAGCACGACACACAGGGGAATCAGGAACTAACTGCCATGAAAGCACAGATTCATAAATGTTGTTGGACCACAATGTGAAAAACTCTGGTTTATTATCTGTTAGCACTGCTTCCTGTTGGACTCTGCAGCGATACAATCTGACAGCAGTTCAGCTGCAACTATCGAGATCTAGCACAGCCAAAGGCAGTTGGCTTTGTAAAGTGAATGTCCTTAATGGAAAAGACTTGTTGGACCAAAGTAAGAAGTATTAAAGTCAGCTGAAAGGCTGACAGTGACTGGTCGTGCTCACATGCATCACAACGAGTCAAACATAGTGTCAGTTAAAAAAATAACAAAAAAAGGGTCCTGGCCATCCTAAGTCCCGCCCCCATTTTCTTCCCAGCTAATAGGCTGCATAATCGGACGCCAGGGAACCAAAATCAACGAGATCCGTCAGATGTCTGGGGCGCAGATCAAAATTGCTAACGCCATGGAAGGGTCATCGGAGCGCCAGATCACCATCACAGGGACCCCCGCCAACATCAGCCTGGCCCAGTACCTCATCAATGCAAGGTCAGAACCCGTTTTTCAAGGTCCTGTGACAACATGGATGTCTTGATCCTTGCCCATATCATATAGTTTGACAGCATAAAAACTGGAAATATGGGGAAACAGCTGGTCTGGCTCAGTCCAAAGGCAACAAAATCCACCTACCAGTGCCTCTAAGTTTCACTGATTAACTTATATTGCGTCTGTTTCTGTACAGAACAAAACATTGAAATACTTAATTAGAAAATTAAGTGCTTACTTTCTAATCATCTTTCAGGTTCAGAGACGTGGCGGCCATGTGGAACGACCCATCTTCCATGACCACATCCTGAGATCCCTGACTGGCTCCTCCGTTTGGCCCTTTCCAATGACTGACCACCGCAGACAACCCTGATGAAGCCCTTCGGACTCTGGCTCTGGCTCTCCGAAAAAAAACACTGACCACCATCCCTGCCCTGGCTCACAGTTGTTTATACGTCAGGGAGGGTTGGGCGCTCATTTCTCTTTCAGAGAGCCAGATTAAATTTAAAAAAACAACAAAAAAACAAAAAAGAAATTCTCTGTTGATTAGGTTTTTTAGAGAACTGTTGAAGCATGTTGAATGTTTATTAGGAACAACTTGTGTTAATCTTTCTTTCTTTTGCTCTCTATCTATTGCTTTCTCTCTCTCTCTCTCTCTCTATCTATCTTTCTCTCTCTGTCAGTGCTGCGTCATAGAACATCATTTAAAAGTATAACTAGTAAAAGGTTGAACATTTTGTAGAACGTAGTTATTTGCATATTACAGCTGCTCAGTGATGCTATCGGCAGAGTGTGTGGTGGGATGTAGCCAAATTATCAAATTTTGATAATATATTTTGAAAAGAAAAAAAATTGGACTGTTCTGCTTTTGTCCTAATTTGCATCTTTGTCTACTTACAAATCCAATCTCTACCCATGACTCTTTGCTGCATCACATGACCCTTTTAAGCCAATGGTATCACTCCTAGAGCCTCCCTTCTCATGTTAATTTCCTATACTTACATTATTGCTTATATTGCATGTGTTCAGTGTTGTGTCGTCGTGTATTTAAGTGAACCTGTTCAGTGTATGTGTTCCTTCAAATGTCATTATTATATCTTTGAGCTCCCGTTCTTTTTCCGACTACTTTTTCAGCATTTTTGGCCATTCACGTCTAGTCCTAATCCCTGCCCAGATGAAAAACTTTCCGACATAGCCTCCTTCCATAAACACCGATTATTAGTATATAGATGCATGAATGGGAATTAGTGAAAAATCAGTGGCTAAAACACTAACTGAAAATTTTAAATGATTGTTTACTAATTTATTATTATACTGTATTTGTTTTGTACAAAAGACTATTGTGACTTAGCACATTAGTCGACTACGCGGCGCTCATGCAATAGACTATTCAACACTTTACTCTGGACTGCCTCTGATGTGGGAGGAATTAGTTGGACTTAAAAGCCAAGTGTTGCGTCCAAACCTTTTCGGCTTCCTTCCCTTGTCTCCGGAAATATTCGCTAGGCTGCTGGCAAAAAAAACAAACAAAAAAAACTGGGGCTTTTGAGTGAAAAAAACAAGGGAAAGAAGCCGACTTTTTTGCGGCAAAGAGGCCTAAATGTTTGGACAAAGCCAAATGGTATTTGTTGGGCCAAGGAATGTTCAGGGGTTCATTGGGGGGAACCCATGGGGTCTGGGCGGACGTGACCACTCAGTCCCTTTTTCAAGATTGTTCATCTTGTCATGTTGTTTTTGTTGTCATACGGTTGATTTGACGCATTAGGTTTGAATGTCTTTTTATTGTCACGACTATTGTCAGCAACTTAATTGTTTTTATTTAAAAAAGGACAGGTTGGATGACAATTCCTGCTTCACTGGTTTTCAGTAAAAAAAAAAAAACAGCATGTATTTATTTATGGTGTGGCGATGCACATGTGACTTTTTGTTTGTTGATCATGACACTTAAGCTAAGTTAGTTTTGTTGTATTTCATTTGAGAGGGAGGTGTGGATGATATTTGGTACGATTCAGCATTTCAACCACAAGGATGCTCTAAACACTATTGGACAGCTTAGGTCATCTCATTTTGCGAGTTTCAGCTGAGCTCAATTAAGTTTTGACACATACAAACAGCTGTTGAATGTTATTGTCGTAACACGTTACCTACGGTCCAACACAGCGACATTCTGCATTTTTAGTGTCTCAATTTCTTCATACGTACCACTGCTTTGTTTTATTTCCAATAGCCTACGCTGAGCTTAAAGGAAAAGTTTGAATTTTTTGGGGGGAAATCTGCGCAGTAATATGAAGCTTCCACTAGCAGCTGATTAGCTTAGCTTAGCATAAAGACTGGAAACAAGGGGAAACACCTGTCGGTGCTGTTAAGCTAAAGAAACCATCTTACTAGCACCTCTTACTAATTAGCATGTTATATTTAGATTGTCTAATGACCATAGTCCTGCTTGAAGGTTACTACCCTTGTTTTCAGTCTTTATGCTGAACTAAGTTAAGCTAACCATCTCCTGGCTGTCGCTTCATGTTTAGAAGAGAGCTATCTCTCAGCAAGAAAGGCGATTAAACTCTGTGAGGGCTTAAAATATAACGAAATAAGTAAAAATTCTTGATGTCAGGCTAGCGGTTTCCCCTTGTTTCCACTCTTTGTGCTAAGCTAAGTTGGCGGGAGAGTGGAATCAATCTCATCCAATTCTGCTGAACATTTCCTTTGACTTCAAGCACTTTCATGATATAAATGTGATTATGTAAATGGACCAAATGCTGTATCACTATACTGAACCATGCATAGTCAACGATCATTCTGCAATAATTCTTACATTTTGATGTGAACTGAAGTAGTAGTGCTAGCATTGAAATTATGAATTTGTGTTTCTTTTGAACTTTGTCATAGCTCGTACGTCAGTGGGAACATTTGTCAAATGAACAAACTGAAATTATGTTGGTTTTATTTGGGCAAACTTGCTTTTTTAGAACAGTTAGCTAATACCTAAGAGGGCATTCTTTCCACAGCACTGTAGATGTTAAAGAACATCCTCGAGGGTATTACGGCTTTTAAACTGTTTCTCAGTGCATGTGTACCATTGAAATGTCTGCTTCAAATTAGGACACATATGTAAGAATTAAAAACATAACAAAGCAACGATTGCTGAGGCTTATTAGCACAGTTGGCATGTGCATTTGACAAAGATCTTGTTGTGTAATATGAATTTGATCGCTAGGCAGGAATATTGAGTTGTAAGTGATGGCAGTGTGATTTTAATAACATCAATATTCATGTGTTACTCAGTGTTTGAAAACTGTATTTACATTTGTGTATATGGCTGAGTATACTACGACTTTGAAACAAACTGCAACTAATGCAATAATAGGGTGCGATGTGCAATTATTTATTCAGTTATTTCCTTATTAACATAGATGCAGGAGAGCTGTGTAGCTTGTTGAAAAATGCTTTTTTTATTTTATCCACTTTCCATGTGGCAGCAACAGCAGGAAAAAAAAAGAATGACTAGACTTTTTTTTTTGCTTTTGTTTTTAAGCTTTTGTTTGTGTGTATTGCAGTTTGGAAAAAAAGGTGATAGAACTTCGTAACTATTTTTGATTGATTTATTTGCTATGTGCAGATCTATATTAGTTGTGAGTAAGTACATAGGTTTTAATTTAAAGTGTTGGTAAGTATAAAAACAAATAAAGTTTCATTTTTTCTTTCTGTGACTTGTTTTTCTCTGGTTTCTCTTTGCTTTCTTACAGATAATCTTTCCCCGTGCACACATATTAAGGCCCAATGAACCATGGCCTGACAAGGGCCTACGTCGAGCTAAAAAACTCCCTGGGGAGATTTTGTTATTGAATACAGTTAATTATTGTATGGCAAAGTGATTATGGTAATTAGATGATGAGGTTTAAATGGGAATCATGTCCATATTTTTTTTTTAAAAGATATCTTTGTGATTCAACAAACATTAAAATCAGATAAAAAATTTTTTAAAAAAAGCAATTACATATTACCAGCAATACAATGAAGTGCTGCAGCGTGCTTATTATTTAGAGCCCTGGTGGTCAAAGAAAGGTTCAGGGACCTCCTGAGACCTTGCAGGAGTTTCGTGGAGGTCCGCAGTAAAATTAGGAATAACTATAATTCCTTATAATTATAACCATAAGTCCTAATTTAATTTGAATTTATATTAATTAAAGAATGACTATGGATGAATATTATAATCATAGGTTGCTCTCTCACCACTTGTATTTCAGCAGCTACAGACAGTAACTTTAATGATAAATCAATGACATCCTCTCATATGAGGGTCGCAATGCTATAAAGTCTTACCAGACGTTCCTGGATTAAACTTTTGATAATAAAATAAATTAATACGTTTCTTAAACTCAATCTATGCTTGTTTTCTTGACTCTGAACTCAATAAACACAATTAACCTTTAATTTATGAGCCTAAATAGAAAAAAAGTGTACACTATGTATGTAACCTACTGCCCTCTACTAGTAACATATGTCAAATTTCCACACACCCAAATGTATGGAGGGTGGCAGCAGACAGAAAGGAAGGTCCCTCAGTGGAAGAATCATTTCAACATCTTGATATGAGCTGGCTCTCCTTTGAACCTGCAAATTGCTTTTCCAGAGTGGCTGTTGAACATCCAGACCTCAGACGGGCCTTTTTTTTCCCCTCCAGAGCATGTGATACGCCGTCTTTCACGCGGCTAAATTTTGCACCGATGTATGAACGTTGCTTTGATTAGGCAGAGAAACAACAGATAAATCAAAGAGGCCACTTTCACCTCTTTTAGCACTGCTAATATTACTTCAACCTTGCAGTTGGGAGCATTAAACAGATGGAAATAGTTCTGTGTCTGGATTTGTTCTAAGACTGAGAAGATCCTCGAGGACAGGAAGCAGGTCTTACTAAAAGATGTGCGGCAGAGCAGTGAAACCATGTGTAATGGCCAGACCACTGAGTTTATCTTAAGAGAACACTGACGGCTTAAAACAGAGCACAACACAATGCCAGGAAATGTTTCATGCTGGTGAGATGGCGATGCCCAAAGGTTTAGCGAAACGGATAATGCCTCCTGCATTCAGGGCTGGATTCAAGGGTAGATTAAGAACTTCTTGCCGAGAGCCAAGAAGCTGTCTGAGGAGTTGATAGGTAGGCAGGCCATAACCGTTGGCAGAGACCCAGCGTAGAGCTTTGCATTGTGTATCAGAGTCTGACGGGCGGCACCTGCAGCTGATCGTGAGCCTGACTGAGGAATCAACACTCAACAGTCATAACAGATTTATTCACACTGTGCTATTAAATAACAGTGTCACGGAGTGCCTTGCAAAGAAAGGATATCAATTTATGTCTGAGACAAAACACCTGTCAGCACCAAAGCTTATTGAAACCAAAGGGGGTGAAGCAGCTTTAAAAAAAAGCAGCTACCAGTTTTAATTACTTCAACTATCTTAAAACTATAGATTTTCTGTCAGTTTGTGTCAAATAGCTCTTAATACAAAGAATCAGCTGCCTTTGTTATTTAGAAGAAGAGACGTAGCACGCTGAGAAAGCTTAAGTTGCAACCTGGAACAGAGAAAGGACAACCATGGATGTTTTTGGAGATGTTATATGTATTAAGTAAGTATTACTGCGTATTGTGACAAAACAGGTGGGGCGAGCAAGAGAAACACTAGTGAGCACGTGCGGTGGGCCACACAATGTGGAAGCAAACCAGGAAGAGAGGTACATTGAACACTGACCCAGAATCTGAAAGTGGACGACGGGATGTTTCAGTGCAGGTCCACTACTTCCTGCATTGGCACTGTTGGCATTTGAGTCTGTGTGTGCGTGTGTGGAATCATCTGATATGGATGAAATGCCTCGAGATACTGCTGTCTTGCTAGTCACTTCTCTCCTTGTATTTTTATGTACGCTTTTTATTTATTTATTATTTTCTAATCTAGTTGCTCATCTTTTGTACTGTTGATTCCACCAGAAGAGTTTCATGTCCGTTCAGGCCTTGGAAGTTCTCCAGCTACTAGCCATCTAATATTCTCTGTGCAGAAAATGAACTGGACTTTTCCCAAAAAAACTCCCATCACATGACAACCTTTATTGGAGGCAGTTAATCTTATAATAAAATGAGGTGACATGCAGCTCCTCAATTACCTAATAGGCTCACAGTAAATCTGACAAGACATTTGACCTGGCACCCAACATTAGCCAATGATCAGATAATCTGCTGCACTTTAACAAAGACACAATTACTTTCATTCATCCTTTCCGGTGGGCTATCCAACCATACAATCTTGGGAATGTAATCCAGAGCGCTCTGAGGTTCGAGCCATAACAAAAGCGGACATCAGCTAATCAAGTGATCTATACACTGTGTAATAGACTGCGCTCTCCTGAAGTCCATTTCCCTTCAATAACGGTTCAATAAGGGTTTGTCCGACTCTGCTCATCCAAAACATAAAGGCATTCTCTGCCCCTGCGTTGGCTTGGCTTGAAAGTTGGAGTGTGTCCATGCTATCACTCAGCAGTAAGCTGCTTACAGACAACCTTTTCTATAATGCAAAGGACTGAAAGCAATAAGGGAGATGACGTGCAAATGTAAAAGTTGCTGCAAATGTCCTGAAGAATGGAATGTGGGGAGTCCATGGCATTTTTCCTTTTCCCAGCCTTGGAGTTTGGACACAGTGCTCAGACATGCTGTGTCCTCCCTCGTGAGTGAAAGCAACTACAAGCAGAGGGAGCAAAATCCAATGTCAGACACTCTCTGCAGCGGGAAGGCATTATCAAATGTACTGAGCGTGGCTTCGGAGAGGTCAATATATACTGTAGGGCGGCACAGTGCTGCTTTCAGAGAGTGACTTCGCAATGTCATCTGTAACAAACCAGGCATGAAGTGCAGATGGGACAGAGTGATATCAAAACAGCTTTGTGAAGGGGAAATAGGTCTGCTGCAATTCATTGTTTACATGATAAATACTAATTATGTTATGACAGAATCACTATAGGCTATAATGCTTACCCGAGGAAAGGCTCCCTATATTGGCTCGGCTCCATATCATTGTGATCCCGTGGAGGAGTATGAATTTATTTAAGATGGCTTACCAGGCAGGAATTTTGCCAAGAGTCCGACAAGATGAGTAAGGGTGTAAAACAAATGCCTTGGCAAGTTTGAAGTAGTTTAAACAGCAGAGAATGTGAAGTAAATCTATCTCCCCGATTACCCAGAAAC